ATTCAATTGTCAATTAATTAATTAAACACATAATGCTTTTCTAAATCAATGGTACGATACAAAAAAAAAAAGGACAAATGATAATTCATAAATAGTAAAATTTTTTTTGGCATTTTTAGTAATAGACAATCAATTCAATTGTCAATAAAGATAACATTTTTTCTTAAAAAGTAAACAAATCAATGGTACGATCAAAAAAAAAAATGATAATAGTAAAAATGTTTTTAACATTTTTAATTACAATAAAAAATTCAATTGTCAATTTAATTAATTAAATAAATAGAATGATGCTTTTCTTATAAAAGTAAAATAAACAAATCAATGGTATGATCTTCATCACGTTAACTAAATATTAAACGGAAAAAATGCTTCGCCACCACTAAAAAAGCATTCTTAGTAGCATATATATAATAAAAAAACAAAAAACAATAGTGAGTTCAATTGTTGAAACTAGATAACTCTTCTTAAAATGTAAAATAAACAAAAATTTTTATATATCAGAAAGAAAAAGAATCACGTAGATCGATTTCAGAAAAATAAAAAAAATTTTTTTTTTCAAAATTTTACCACCCAGTGAAAACAAAAAATTCCTTCCCAAAAAAATAGGTTTGAAAAATAAGGGTTTTCCTAATAATGTTTGCATTGCTTCGCTTTTGCAATTCAATTCAAAGCGATATATTTTTATAAAGCAAACCCATTTGCTGTCCGACAAATTTTTGCTAATTAAATATGGTGAAAACGTTGATTGCGCCAAAAACCGAAAAAAGCAGACACAGTTAGACGTAAAAAGAGACAATCGACAAAAAACCTGTACGAAAGTCGCACGACTTACGGGTTTTGGAAGGAGATCGTGACACGACAAATGTTTCTTTTCTTTTGATTTTTGATGCAAGATATTGGGGTATATTATATAGAAAATGATCCCCAAATTGTTAAATAATAAAAAAAAGTTTTACAAAACATTTCTCATAATTTGATTAGAATGTCTGCATCAATTCAGATTCCAAAAGGTATTTTGACTTAAAAATTTTAAATGACAAATCTACCTGTCACAGATTGTCACATTTTTTTCTTGCAAAAAAAATTCTCATTGTACCAATCGTAGAACGTTAATTACACAATCTTGTTAGATGTATTTGTCAGGCTTAGGCCAGCTTCTGAAGATGCTCCTCTTCAAGGTATTTTGTTTGGTCAACGTGAAGAATGTTTAGATCGTGGTTTGGTAATTCATGTAAAAGTAAGTAGTAATAAATTGATAACCTATTGTTCTAGTATAAAAAGAAGCGTTATTTAATCGATCTCTTTATTTATTAGGGTTTTTTTCTTTACGAATCCTGTTCACAAGATTTAATTAGCACAATTGCAAAATTAATGAATTGGAAAGGTCAAACAGTTTTAGGATGGTTTGCTGTAAGTGTTTATTTTCACAAAAATACTTTTATTGTTCATTTCAATACACGTGCTATAAATAATATTTTTTTTAATTAATATATTGAAAGGCACCAGAAAACGATATAATTAATCAATGTGAACCAACACAAATTGCATCTGCTTATTTTCGTACTTTTCAATCCGCCATGTTAAAAGTAATAGTAGCAAATTACCTTAAACAACATTCAGGTATTTACCATAAGGATGATTATTCAAAGCAATAAAAAAAATTATTTTTATAAAAATAGCAATAATTTATATTCATTGTTTAGAATACGACGTAAGAGAGATCACACCGTTAATTGCACGAGAATCATGTGCATTATTTCAAGATCTTATAGGATTATTAATAAGAAAAATTGATAAACCGATTAATCCAATTTTGTCACCATTAGCAGACATTGATACAACAACAGCACAAGCATTTTTTTCAGCTCCAAGTTTGAACGAAGTGCTGAACCTGCTTTGTGATGTTAAAGGCGATGTCGTAGAAACACATATATTACAAGAATTAGCAGATGTCCTTCCTAGAATTAATGGTTTAGGTTCTAATTTTACACATAACAACTCTATAACGGATGATATGGATGATGAGTGTGATGATGTTAGAGAATTATTTTCAATTTGGGGTAATGGTTCGGGCACAGTCAATAAAAAGATAAGAACAAGGAGGGCAAGTACAACGGATATTGCTGAAGGTTTATCAAGAAGTGCTTCATTCGTTGCAGATGATCTTATGGACGATTCAAATAAGAAAAAAAAAAGGTTTAGATAATGAAAATATCGTAGATAAAAATATAACAAAAAATGTAAAAATAAAATCATTCTATAAATAAATAATATGAATAAATAATAAAATTAATAATAATTATTAATTTCATTTATTTATTTCAATAAATTAGATAAATACAACAAATGACAACATAGCCACTAATATAATACCAGCACCATTTATAATTGTACCTGGACAAGCTTCAGAATATATGCATCAAGCACATAATGATGATAGGTATTACAAGACTTGTTTATATATTTAAAACCATAGGCTATTGATTTTTCATTACTATATGTATTATCTAACTCGTTTATAAATAATGTATTTATAAACTTCATCAAGTATTCATCACTCAACAGAATATGATGAATCCATATTATCATCTTTGACAACTTCACATTTCTCTCCAACCAACAGCACTCAATCAAATTCATCACAGAATGAATATGTTATGACATATGCTCAACAACGTATTAATATAACATACAATGCAATTGCTCAGCATATTACTTCACATACTCAAGAAAAAATAACTTTATACGAAAAATCTTGTAGAGAATATGAGATGTTGTTAGAAATACTTGAAACATTAAATAGTGTAGGGGATAAACATTCATTATCTAAAAAGTTAGAGAATTCGATTGAAGATATTGGTGATTGTGATAATGAAGAAAATGCTGAAGATGTAATTGGTGAAGGCGTAGAAGTTGATAAAAAAGAAGATAAAGTAATGGCCGTAGATAATAATAATCTAAATCCTTTCAAATCTAAAAAGTCTGAAGCTGAAAGTTCAGATAGTGAGCTTATAAAAAAAAAAGATGTTAAGAAGAAAAAGAAAAAAACCCCCGACAACAACAATTGTTCCGATAAAGAAATCATTAAAAAGTCTCCAAAGAAATGGCATAAAAAAGTAATTAAAACTAAAGATGTAGAAATTGAAGAAAATAGTAATGGCAATGGTAACTTGATTGGTGAGATAAGTTCTATTTCTTCTATGGAAGAAGGAGAAATCGAGGAAGATAATAATAATGATGATGACGATGATGATGATGATAATGTTGACAATGATGAAGAAGATGATGACGTTGATGATGACGTTGATGACGACGACGATGATGATGATGACAATGATGATGATGATGATGATGATGATGATGATGATGATGATGATGGTGACGATGATGACGATGATGATGATGATAAAGACAATAATTATATTAGTAATGATAACAACAACAACAACAACAACAACAATAGTTTAATACCAAAGTACCATCATCATGAATTAGACAAAGATAAAAAAAGAAAATATGATGAAATGATATTTAAAGAGCCAAATTGTAATAATAAAGGGAGGAGTAGTAGTCCTGGATGGGCATGGGACGAAGAAGATTTTGCAAATTAAAAAATTTCGATTTTTTATATTTCTGTTTTTATTTATTAAAATATATATCGTGCGTGTTATTAAAATTAATGTAATAGAAGATCACATCCTTTTTTAAATATGATTTGAACATAAAGTAACAATTAGTAAAATACTAATTTAAAAATCAAAATATTAAAATAATGTCAATAATATCTATTTTATGTTTTAAAGCATCGTATAAATTATTTCGATGGTTATTTATATTTTCTACAATTTTAAGTTCTTTAAATGGAGTTTCAACTCTTAACTTACCGCAATTTACAATAAAGAGTAAAGTTATTGAGTTACTTGATGAGGAGGGTGGAACCTCAGATTTCACAATGAAATTGTTTACCATCTCAGCATTAGTAATACTCGGAGGCGTGTTTGCTGGTAATTCGTGATGTTTTATCTATTTCATTAATATATTCTCCTTGGCTGTATTTTTCTTAACCATACTTTCCTTAACCTTTAAAATAAAATATTCTTTTACTAATATTTAAATAATAGGGCTTACAATAGGCTTGATGGGCTTAGATGAGACTAATTTACAAGTTTTAATGGTAGCAGGAGATTCGAAGGAACGTATTTATGCAAGAAAAGTATTTGAACTTTTAAAACGTGGAAAACACTGGGTATTAGTAACTTTATTACTCTCCAATGTGATTGTCAATGAAACTTTACCAATCATTATGGACTCGCTTTTTGGAGGAGGTTGGCCGGCAGTGTTAATATCAACTGCATTAATCGTTCTATTTGGGGAGTATGTGTATTATTTTAATAATGGAACTTTTTCAATAGTATATAAATATTTTATCGTGTGTTATTTACTTTAAAATTTTATAAACTGAATATTTCAGAATAATTCCTCAAGGTTAGTATTTTATAATAAATCTTGAATATATATATGTATATATGTGTGTGTATATATATAAATATTCATTAATTTTATCCTTAAAAGCCATATGTGTTCGTTATGGCTTGGCTATAGGTGCCGGATTTTCATGGTATAAAAAAAAAGTTGCTGCAAATTAGAAAATTACGATTTTTTATTTATCAATAGAACCATATTTAGTAGTAGAATTTTTCCTGATTGTGCTGCTTTTTCCACTATTATTACTATTATTGTCGTTACTATTGTTGTTGTTGTTGTTGTTGTTACTGTTCTCAACATTAGTTGTCTTTAATTTTATTTTATTCTTCATGTTTCCATCAACTATATCATTGCTTTCTTTTTTCTTTTTGGTAATTGCTTTCGATGAACTATGTAGAATTGCTGAGCTTTTTAATAAATTAGATTTATAATATGGATATGAACGTTGTCTCGATTGACGTGGTGGATGACGCACAACTTTGATTTTATTTTGTACTGAATATAATAAAAAATTTTACGATATGTTAACGTCCGTCGTATGTATTTAATTTTAATAATAAAAGTATCTATACCGTCAACATAAACATCTGTCTCGTCAATAATTTCCTTTTTTTCAAAAAAAAAAAATTTTTTTTTTCCATGTTAAAAAAAATCCAAGAAAAATTAATTTAAAAATTTTTTTCTGATTTTACACACCTCTCCAATCAACTCTTCAATAACATCTTCGAGAGTGATTACGCCAAGAGCTCCTTTATCTCCCCCAGGATCTTCTGAGACAAGTACCATGTGGCCTAATAATATTTATTAATAACATTCATCTATTTACGTTTCTTTATTGTCGATTAACAAATAAATTGAATAAATAATAGTTTACTTCTGCCTTCTTGAAAATAGTTTAAAATGTCTAAACAACTTGTGTCTGGTGAAGTTTCTGGTAGTGAGCTTAATGGAAAATCCCTGACAGACCATGCATCTTCTGGATCATATGTAATTAGTTTTTTAACTAAAAGCATACCTATAAAGTGCGTTGGATTTGGTGGCTCATAAACTGGAATACGAGAATAACCTGCCGAAAGAATCTAAAATATCCCAAAAAA